TATACCTTATTATACTCAAGCTACCATTTTTGACTTATAAAATTTAAACAACTGGATTTAGTAGAGGCAGATGTTGGTTCCCTAAATTCCATGACCTATTCTGGCAGGTTTGTCATAGCCACACATTGCGATGACATCTGTCCCAGTCCAGCCTCGATGGGTTTGTAAGTTCCAGGGTAGAAGCATGTGGGTTAGGAATGTTAGGCAAGAGGGACAGAGATATGAAAGAAATACAGAGGCACAGGATAGTACTTGGAGGGCAACCCAGTGAATATTGAATCCTGAATATGCCTGTGTTTATTTTCCAATCCAAAAGGGGGGGAAGGCAAGACTGCTTTAACATGACACAAAGGACAAACACAACAACTACTTGTTTCAATATTTACTGTAGGAAGTCGTACAGTTGTGTTCACCTGCCTACTGGGGTGTGGCCTCTCAGACCATATATGCTGATGCAGAGCCTGCATCTGCCCCTTTCTCCTTTTTGCCAGCTGTTCGTTCAGATTGTTGGATTGCTGGATTCGATCTATGTCCACCGTTCAAGCAGAGAATTCTGATTTGTGAGTTTAACCCTAAATAAACTATCTATTTCTCATTTCTGAACTAGTGTGAGATTTATTTTAAGCATCCACTCATCACTTGGTCTGTTCATCAAATATTGAGACATCAAACCAATATCTCCTGAGTTAAGCATTCTAATGTTTTAGGCAGGACATGAAGCGACAACACCTTAGACCAAGTATCCTGTAGGCAGCCACTCCCCGGGTCAAACCTCCTGTCTGAAAAATGAAGGTCAGGGTGGAGTGGATCCACCTCTATGGGCCATCATAATACCCAAAACCCCAAGTAACCATACCCTAGGTCAGAATATCTTGCTTATAATCACTCCTTAAGTCAGACTTCTTGTCAACAACTTTGAAAGAGCAGGCTTAAACTCTCTGACCTTCAGTTAAGGTGGAGTGGACCCACTTCTGTGGGCCCGGTATTGGTTGATTAGGGTTCCAGTTACAGGTATAATTGCCCACCTGTTGAACAGACCTTAAATATAAATATATAGTCAGTCACTGATTGCCCATTAAGACATGAATGCCTTTACTGATATACCTTGCCATTATGATCACTGTTGTGGTTCATAGGGTTCTTAGTAACTTTCCTATTGCTGTGAAGAGACTTGACAACTAAAACAATTTATGAGAGTAAACATCTATTGGCACTTCTGGAAGTTAGAGCCCATGACTAGCATGGCAGGCAACATGGCAGTGGGCAAGCAAGGATAGTCCTGAGCAGTAGTGGAGAGCTGCCATCATGATCTCAAAGTTCAAACTTGAGATAGGGCTAACTTGAAACAGTAAGAGCATGGAAACCTCAAAGCCATCCCAGTGACACACCCTCTCCAACTATGCCATATCATTTTATCCTTCTCAGCAGCTCCACCAACTGATTACCCGGACCCAGAAAGATAAATACCATTTATCATCACTCATATACGGGTCCCAGCTCCATTATCAGATGTTAAAATATAACCTAGAGTAACTAGAGAAGCCACATCTTACCTTCCTAATAAAGACATGATGCAATGTAAAACTCCTCTGTAGGACTGAATGAATAATAAAAATGCTGAGAATGTGACTGTACTTCTTCCAAGCTATTTATTTCTAAAATAATTTGGACTCACTTGTACAAAATATTTATTTCTGATATAAAATTTAACGACTTAAAAATTTTTCACAAATTTTTATCTCATTTAAAACGAGACCAAGCCTTCTTATAATTTTATAATGAAAGTTTCTTTTGTTTGTTTGTTTGTTTGTTTTTCGAAACAGGGTTTCTCTGTGGCTTTGGAGCCTGTCCTGGAACTAGCTCTGTAGACCAGGCTGGTCTCGAACTCACAGAGATCCGCCTGCCTCTGCCTCCCGAGTGCTGGGATTAAAGGCGTGTGCCACCATGGCCCGGCTGAAAGTTTCTTTTGATTGAACTTGGTTTTTGTTAAAGCCCCAAGTTGGTTGTCAAAGTTTCTTTTATATAACTGTGACAAATCAAATGCTAATGCGACTTTTAAAAGGAAGGGTCACACTAGCCTTACAGTCACAGAGGTTTCATATCCACAACCGCACAGCAAAGGCATGGTAGCAGGAATAGCTGAGAGGTCACCTCCTAATCCATAATCAGGAGATGGAGAAAACACTGGGAGTTTCAGGTTTTGAAATCTCAAAACTTTGCTAGAGTTAACAGATATTCTTCAACCTACCATACCCTTTAAACATGCTCAAAGAGTCCCACAAATTGAGAGCAAAGCATTAAAATTTATGAGCCTATAGGGGCATTCTCGCTCAGACTACTACACTTGTATTCAAAGCCTATTGTCCTAGGGAATGAAAAATGATCCATATTATTACACACACTGCAAGTGGTTTTCATCCTATATATACTAACATATTGATAGTTAAAATTAGTTTTGAAGTCTACCAATCTGTTTCTTTCCATATTTAATACATCATATTTCTTAGTTTATGTCTTCACTCCTTTGCACATTTTACTTTACTCATTTGTATCTCTTTCTCTGTTCGTTTACAAGTGTGCATATGATTGTCAAAACACAGCTTTCAGTAATTGGTTTTCTATTTCCACCATATAAGACCCAGGAAGGTAACTGAAATCATCAGGTTTTCTGGAAAGAACCATTACTAGCTGATACATCTCATGTCCAGCAACATTCTTCTTTTATATTTCACACTATAGGCAACTTGACCAAAGCACTGCCACAGTTAATACTGGAATAAGTTCTACCCAGTACACTCCTTTTCACTCTGAGATTCTATGGGTTTGTGTAAGGCTATGAAAAACAGAAATATAGGCACACACTACGCAGAAGCATCTAAATTCTATGAATCATTTTCCACATTTGGTGTGGGACAATGGTCTGTATTCTGTCAGTTATATTTTAAATAAATGCTGATTGGCCAGTAGCCAGGCAGGAAGTAGAAGCGGGACAATCAGATAGGAAGTAGAGGTGGGTCAAGGAGAACAGGAAAATTCTGGGACGAAGAAAGTTCTTTCTGCAGTCCTTTACCCAGCCTCAGTGGAAGCAAAATGTGACTACCTCACTGAAAAAGGTACCGAGCCATGTGGCTAACATATACTAGAATAATTGAGCTAATATAAGTTGTAAGAGTTAATAAGAAGCCTGAGCTAATGGGCCAATCAGTCTATAACAAATATAGACCTCTGTGTGATTTCTTTGGGACTTAATGATTGTGGGAACCAGGCAGGACAGAAAACTCAGTCAACGCACATTTATTACAAAGTTTTCCATCAGTGTGTTCATGAGTATAATAGAAAACATCACTGCCAAAGGCTTTTCCACATGGTTACACATGTACAGCTTCACTCCAGGGTGAATTCTTTATGAATGTTGCAACAAACGGAACTGTGAAAACTTTTGCAAGATGCTTACATGCACTAGGCTTCTCCCCAGTGTAAGTTGCTCCACTGCATGCTACAGGAACTGGAAGAAGCATTAAAGGCTTCTCGCAATGGTGACATTAATAATGTTCCTCTCCACTATGAGATCTTTTATGCTTAGTAAAATAATTAGAGCAAAGAAACAGTTTTCCATGGTTTACAAATGGTTTTTCTCCAGTGTGAATGTTTTTATGACTCCTGTGGCAAGTGGAACTTGTGAACGATTTACCCACGTTTACTTGTATTATACTACTTTCTAGAGTGACTGCTTTCATGATTCTTATGACAAGAGCAACTGAAGATCCCTCCACAATGCTTACATGCATAAAGCTTCTCTCCCATGTGAATTCTTCCATGAATGGTAAGATCATCAGACTGAACAGTTTCTCTCACACAAAGGGTTTTTAACTAGTCTGAATTCTTTCAGGAGTGTTCCACCAATTGAAATTGACAAAAATTTCCACAATGCTTACACACTAAAGGCTTCTCTTTAGTGTGTCCTCTTTCATGAATATTACGATAACTGGAACGAGTGAAAACTTTTCCACAATGCTTGCATGCATAAGGCTTCTCTCCAGTGTGAGTTCTTTTTTTTTTAATATTTATTTCTTTATTATGTATACAATATTCTGTCTGTATGCCTAGGACCAGAAGAGGGCGCCAGACCTCTTTACAGATGGTTGTGAGCCACCATGTGGATGCTGGGAATTGAACTCAGGACCTTTGGAAGAGCAGGCAATGCTCTTAACCACTGAGCCATCTCTCCAGCCCCAGTGTGAGTTCTTTCGTGAATGTTAAGAGAACTCAAAATGGCAAAGGTACTGCCACAATGCTTGCATGCATAAGGCTGCTCTCTTGTGTGAGTTCTTTCATGAATTTTACAAGTAATGGAACTGGTGAAGGTTTTCCCACAATGCTTATATGCATAAGGTTTCTCTCCTGTGTAAGTTCTTTCATGGATGTTACAATGATAAGAACTTTGAAAGGTTTTTCCACAATGCTTGCATGCATGAAGATTCTCTCCACTGTGAATTCTTTCCTGAATGTTACAGTAAGCAGAACTGGTGAAGGTTTTCCCACAATGCTTACATGCATAAGGTTTCTCTCCTGTGTGAGTTCTTTCATGGATGTTACAACTATAAGAAGTCTGAAAGGTTTTTCCACAATGCTTGCATGCAGGAAGATTCTCTCCACTATGATTTCTTTCATGAATGTTACGGTAAGTAGAACTAGTGAAGGTTTTCCCACAATGCTTACATGCATAAGGTTTCTCTCCTGTGTGAGTTCTTTCATGGATGTTACAACTATAAGAAGTTTGAAAAGTTTTTCCACAATGCTTGCATGCATAAAGTTTCTCTCCTGTGTGAGTTCTTTCATGGATTTTACGATTATAAGAATTAGGGAAGGCTTTCCCACAATGCTTACAGGCATAAGGCTTCTCTCCAGTGTGAGTTGATTCATGAATATCCAGATGACTGGAACGGGTAAATGTTTTTCCACAATGCTTACATGTATCGGCTTCTCTCCAGTGTGAGTTTTTACATGAATATTACGGCAAGTGGAACTGGCAAAGGTTTTCCCACAATGCTGACAGGGATAAGGCTTCTCTCCAGTGTGAGTTCTTTCATGGATATTACGATTATAAGAATTAGGGAAGGCTTTTCCACAATGCGACAGGGATAAGGCTTCTCTCCAGTGTGAGTTCTTTCATGAATATTACAGTGCATGGAACTGGTGAGAGTTTTCCCACAATGCTTAAAAGCATAAAGTTTCTTTCTAGTGTGTGTTCTTTCATGAATGGTACAGAGCTTTGAACTGGTGAAAGACTTCTTACAATGCTTACATACAAACTGAGGCTTCTTTAGATTGTGATTTCTTTCACGAGTCTCACGCCACCTGGAACTGGTGAAGGTTTTTCCAAAATGCTTACATGCATAAGGTTTTTTGCCAGAGTGAATTCTTTCATGGCTGATAAAATGATGAGAGAGAAGGAACATTTTCCCACATGTTTTGCAAACAAAGGATTTCTCCCCGGTGTGACTTCTTTCATGAGAGTCACGAGAACTAGATCCATAAAAGGTTTTTCCACAATGCTTACATGCATAAGGCTTCTCTCCAGTGTGGCTCTTTTCATGAACATTTCTCCAACTGGAGCTGGTAAAGGCTTTTCCACAATGCTTACATGGATAAGCCTTCCCAGCCCTGTGAACTCTTTCATGAGTATTACGAGAACTCAAAATGGCAAAGGTTTTATCATAATATGTACATGTGTAGGGTTTTTCTCCAGTATGAATTCTTTCATGAATTTTAAAATAAGCGGGACTGGTGAAGCTTTTTCCACAATGCTTACAGATATAAAGCTTTTCTCCGGTGTGAATACTTTCATGAATGTTAAGACTATAGGAGCGGGTGAAGACTTTCCCGCAGTACTTACATGAATAAAGTTTCTCTCCTTTGTGACTTACTTTATGTTTCTCAAAACATGAAGCATATTTAAATGTTTTCCCACATTGCTTACAAATGTAACTTTTATCACCAGTATGAATTTTTTCATAGCTGATGAGGTCAATTGAATCAATGAAAGCTTCTTCACAATGCTTACACAATGGTTTCACTTCTGTATGGATCCCTTCATCTTTCTGGCCATATTTGCCCCTCTTTAAGACTTCTACAATGGGGGCTGGAGAGATGGCTCAGAGGGTAAGAGCATTGCCTGTTCTTCCAAAGGTCCTGAGTTCAATTTCCAGCAACCACATGGTGGCTCACAACCATCTGTAATGAGGTCTGGTGCCCTCTTCTAGCCTGAAGGCATACACACAGACAGAATATTGTATACATAATAAATAAATAAATTTTAAAAAAAAAAAAAAAAGACTTCTACAATGAGTTTATCTTTGGTGTGAGTTCTCTCCTGAGACTTACCAGAAGGAAGATTCCTACAGACCTCATTATATTAATTTTTACAGGACTTCTCTGCAAAAGTTTCAAGTATCTGATTAATATCTTCCCAATGTTTCTCATGTTTGAAACCCTTTGCCACAGCTTCCATATATTCAGACTGTTTTACTCCAGTTTGGTCTTGTGGACATATTTGTGAGGATGAATGACCAATGATGTTTCTTACATGTGACTGGCTTTCATAAACTCTAATTGAAGAAGGCGTGTCTTTATTAATATTTTCTGGTACTGGCTCCTGATTTTCATCACACTGACTACCACATTCATATCCACAGTCTTTCTCAATCACCTGAGTTCTGCAAGAAAGAGAGAGAGCATTAGTGTAAACAAGGGAAAGGTTGAAGGTTGTTAAGGGCCGAAATGGATACTTTGAAACTTGTACCCACGTGTGAGAAAGTCATGGGATTTTACCTCATCTCTTATCTTTGAGGTTTCTTATCAAGCCTTAGGTGTGTTTCCTATGTTTGAACCTACTTTGGGCCTGCTTCTACTCTTTAGTCCTTTATTCCCGTGGGGCAAGAGATAGTAATGGACTGAGCTAACTTAAGGCACTATCTCTATGGAAAGGGCACATGGCAAATACGGGGGGGGGGGGGGGGGGGTGTGACGCAGTGAGTTGAGTGCATCCCAAATCCCAGAGTGTGTTGTCTTACAATGCAGTGAAATCTCGGAAAGGAACAGGTTCATTCCACAGGGGACGGATCATACGTTAGAGCTTTTGTTTTAAAATTTGTTGTTATTGTTGTTTATTTTTGTTTCCTTACTTGTTTTGGTTTTCCGAGACAGCTTTTCTCTGGTACTATGGTCTGTCCGGGAACTAGTTCTCTGGACCAGACTAGCTCCACTTAGAGATCCCGATTAGAAATGCCTGCACCATGCCGAGCTTCTTTGTTTCGTTTTTGGTCAGGGTCTCACCATGTAGCCCTGAAATGCTTTGAATTCACAGAAGTTCGCCTTCTTCTAGAGAGCAGGCAGTCAGGACTTGCAGCTGAGCTTTTCTAAAATGTTTTGATACTTTTCGCGGGCGGAGTACAGTGCGCCAATCAGGGACCATATTACTAAAAGACGCTGAGCTGTCCAATCAGGAGTAAGTACGGATGGTTGCAGCGCTTGTGCCCTAAGCCTTTTTAACGCTTGTTACCGGGGGATTCTTGTGAGTACCTGTTTGGGGCGATTGTGCGTTCTGCGGACCTCTTTGGGAGGACACCTAGACACATCAGAAGCACACAATGGTGAGTGTGCGTTGGGCTCCTGGAATCCTGGGGGGCGGATGTGGGACTTCAGTTGCTTTGGAGTTCTGTGACGCCAGCACGTGGGGTTTCCTCTGGCGCTGTGAAGTCCAGTGGAAGGTGGAGTCTGGCTCAGCAATGCCTGTGCCCACCTGTGCTTGAAGTGTGCACCCCACAGGCGGCCTTGAGCCCCGAGCGCCCCACTTTTGTGTCCTGTGAAGCCGCTTCATCACAATCCCAGCACTCTTGGGTGGGTCCTTGCCATGAACCTGTGCTACACGGATTTTTGCAGCGCTGGCGGGTTGTTGATCCAGCTTGTTGATCATCCAGGCTGCTGTGCTGTGTGGGGACTTGGGTGATCTGTGGAGTTTTCGGTTTGCGCTGGTTTAGATTTTTTTTTTTCCCATTATTACCTTGGATTTCATTTCACGCTTCTTCACTCCCCTACCCCATCTGGTCTGACTCGGAATTGTTTCCCTTACCTCTTGGTGTGAGAGAAATTTCCCACAGAGCTGTCTCAGCACCTTAACACCTCATCCAAGGTGGTTTTGCATTTTTCCTTTTGTTTTGTTGGGTTTTGTTTGTTGTTTGTTTGGTTGGTTTTACTTAAGTTTTACAAAATGACACTATTCAGGAAATTTTTTCTTCTTCCCCTGACTGCAGTTGCCTTAAAGAGAAAAATTTAAATTAGTTTCGCATTTTATTTGTTTGTAGTGGATTATTTCCATTTATTGAAAACGTTTTCATTCTCATATGGTATATCCTGATTATAGTTTCCCCTCTCTTATCCTTCCAGTTCCTTTCTCCTTCCCCCCCCTCTAGGTCCACTCCCTTTCTGTCTCTCATTAGAAAAGAACAGGCTTCTAAGAGATAGCAGCCAAACATGACGATATATATCATAAATGTTAGGAAGATTTCCTAATATTAGCTACCTGACGACGCAAAAAATCCCAATCAAGCCAAATCAAAACAAGCCAAATTAAGAAATATTCAGGTTTAATAGGAGATCTGCACTCTGAGGTGGCCCCAAGGGGGAAACCGGGAAGCCACAGGAACGCTACCCCTGGGAGGAAGAAAGGGAGACCATGTGTTGGGGAGGGGGGGTGTAGATCACTTAAGTACCCTGGGGAGTGGTCTTGAGCCCACCACCAGGGAGGGGTCAGGACCTGTCTTGCTGGGATTTGAAGTCCAGACCAGGCCTGGGATAGATGCAGAGGGACTGGGGGCCTATACTCCCAACCTAACATTCCAGACTCTTTGGCTATAGGGGTGACAGAAAATTGGAATGGTAATTATGACAAACATTTAGGCTCTCTTTGGAAAAAAGGGAGTAGACTCAAATCCAGCTACTTCCTGCGGGCAGGGGGCAGTGTGGAGAAGGCGGGGCAGTGTGGAGAAGGCGAGAGCCAGGTGTCCACATTTAGCGAGAGGTGTGGCTGGAAAGGCATCCCATGAACTGTCATCCCGGAGAAGGCAAGCATCATTCCTTGGGGGAGATGAGAAGGCAGGTGTCTAGGAAAAAAGTTGTTATCGCTAAAGATGAGTGTGCCAGAATGAGGAGCAGGTAGGCCCTTCATTGTGGCATCCTGGAAAACTGGAGGGTGGAAGGTCCTGTCTGCTGGACAGACCACGTGTCTTGAGCAGGTGCCCGCTTGAGCTGAGAGATGGTCCCAGCATGGGTGTCCCAAGAGCTTGGCAGCCGAGGGGGTGCTGAGGATTACTATGTGAGGTCCTGTCCATCGAGGCTTGAAAGAGCTAGGAGTTAACTGTGTGAGGAGTACTCTGTCCCCTGGGGAGAGTGGGGCAGGTTTAGGGGCATTAGAGTCCACTGGTGTGGTGGCAGGAAGACAACTGTCAGCATGTGAACAGAGAAGGGACCTTAAAAGGGAGAGGTAGGGTAGGTACTCCGCCAGTGGAGGAGTTTGAACTGGGAGGTGATGGTTAAGGAGAAAGGGCCTGCCATAAAGCAACTCAAAAGGGCTCAGGCCTGTAGGGGAACATAGGGTAGCCCTGAGGCGAGGGCCAGGACAACCTGAATTCAGTGGAGAGCTTGGTAGGTTGTTGTTTGATGAGTCCCATTGTCCAGATGTTGAGAGCTTCTGACGTGAGCTCCATGACCCTGAGCTACCGCATCTGCTGTTTCCCTGGAGACCGGAAATGCTTCTGTCCGTCCTGTAAAAGTGTCCACGAGTGTTAAGAGATAACAGAATTTTTTTGAGTAGGCATGGGTGAAATTAACCTGTCAATCTTTGCCCAGTTGGTGTTCACGAAGGTGGTATATGTGGAAAGCTCCTTGTGGGTTGGCCTGGGCACATGACTGGCAGGAGGAGTGAACCTGTCAAATAGAATCTTGGAGATGGGTGGGGTTAAAAGGGGCTCCAAGAAGTAGAACAAAGCTTTGAGGAAGTGGCTAAGGATATCTCCACCCAGTAAGGGTGCTGGGCAAGCAGGTATAGCTAAGAAAGAATGGGAGAAAAATTGTCCTACAAGAATGTAGGTCAGTGGCAGAGTTTTAAGTGGGGAGGAACAGGTCCCATCTACCCCCATATCTGAAATTGGTGAGGGAAACTTAAGACCCGAGTGAAAAGTAATGGACTTACCTGCCACTTGTAGCATGACCCTAGGCTAGGAGAGGGTTATAGGATATACCACTTTTGGGGAGCCAATCTTCTGCAAGGCTGAGACGTTTGAAGGCTAGTACAGTTTCACTTGCTGATGGTGATGAGGCGGGACCTCTGTGGCTTGGCATAGAGGACAAGCCTGCATGGGGGTATTGTGATTTCTAGTGTCCAGGTTGCTGGCAGATAGGGCACAACCTCGGAGCAGGTGTAGTGCAATATCGTGCCAAGTGACCATTTAGGCCATGCTTGATAGAGCCCTGTGATTGACTTCCCTTGTCCCACTTCCTGTGACCTTAGGGCAGTTGCTAAGGCCTGGGCCTATAGATTGTTGTAGCTTTGTCTGTCGGGAAGACTCAGCTGATTTTTCTCGGGCATTAAAAACTTTAAAGGCCATTTTCACCAATTCCCGTATAGGAGTTTGGGGACCATCCTCAACTTTTTTTTTTTTTAACTCTTTTCTAATATCTTGTACTGACTGAGGTAGCAGACCGATTAGTAGAAAAGGAAGCTGGCCGCTTTTTTACCTGAGAGAGATTTGGAAGAGAAAATGGAGCAGGGGAGGGACTAACCCAGTTTGGAGAGGCAGTCCTGGAGTGGAGCTGTGTGGTAGGAGGGGGAGGAGGGAAGGTGGAAGTTGACCGTGAACCTCCAACTAGGGCTGGGGAAAGAATGGTGCTCCGCTGGAGGGGTCGGGAGTCTGGGCCAGAGGGAGTGGGGGAGGGGCCAGTGCCTCAGGCAGCAAGGTGCTGTGAGAGAGCATGGCTAAGGGGGAAGGGGGGAGAGCACAGAGACCAAAAAACCATACATATGTGAGCTTTGTTCATTTGTATCAGGCAGGCTCAATTTAAAAGATTTCTGTAAGAGGCTTACAGGGACTAAAGCAGACCTGGCTTTGAACTGTTATCTCTTAACACTCGTGGACACTTTTACAGGACGGACAGAAGCATTTCCGGTCTCCAGGGAAACAGCAGATGCGGTAGCTCAGGGTCATGGAGCTCACGTCAGAAGCTCTCAACATCTGGACAATGGGACTCATCAAACAACAACCTACCAAGCTCTCCACTGAATTCAGGTTGTCTTGGCCCTCGCCTCAGGGCTACCCTATGTTCCCCTACAGGCCTGAGCCCTTTTGAGTTGCTTTATGGCAGGCCCTTTCTCCTTAACATAATCCTCAGCACCCCCTCGGCTGCCAAGCTCTTGGGACACCCATGCTGGGACCATCTCTCAGCTCAAGCGGGCACCTGCTCAAGACACGTGGTCTGTCCAGCAGACAGGACCTTCCACCCTCCTGTTTTCCAGGATGCCACAATGAAGGGCCTACATGCTCCTCATTCTGGCACACTCATCTTTAGCGATAACAACTTTTTTCCTAGACACCTGCCTTCTCATCTCCCCCAAGGAATGATGCCTGCCTTCTCCGGGATGACAGTTCATGGGATGCCTTTCCAGCCACACCTCTCGCTAAATGTGGACACCTGGCTCTCTCCCCTTCTCCACACTGCCCCGCCTTCTCCACACTGCCCCCTGCCCGCAGGAAGTAGCTGGATTTGAGTCTACTCCCTTTTTTCCAAAGAGAGCCTAAATGTTTGTCATAATTACCATTCCAATTTTCTGTCACCCCTATAGCCAAAGAGTCTGGAATGTTAGGTTGGGAGTATAGGCCCCCAGTCCCTCTGCATCTATCCCAGGCCTGGTCTGGACTTCAAATCCCAGCAGGCCAGGGTACTTAAGTGATCCCCCCAGAAAAAAAACACAGTGGTCTCTCTCCCTCCCAGTGGTCCTGTTTCCCAGCTTCCCGGTTTCCCCTCGGGGCCACCCGAGAGCGCAGATCTTCCATTAAACCTGGATATTTCTTAATTTGGCTTGTTTTGATTTGGCTTGATTGGGAATTTTTGCGTCGTCAGGGAGCTAATATTAGGAAATATTTGCAAATAGAGATACTTTGACCTTTTCCTTTCTAATTTGTAGCCCCTTGATCTCCTTCAGGTGTCCTACTGCTCTAGCTAGCAATTAACGTACTATATTGAGTAGATATGGGGAGAGTGCACAGCCTTTTCTTTTTTCTGATTTTAGTGGAATTTCTTTACATCTCTTTCCATTTAATTTGATGTTGGCTGTTGACTTGCTGTAAAATGCCTTTATTATGATTATATATGTCCCTTGTATCATTAATCTCTCCTGGATTTTTTTCCATGAAGGGGTGTTGGTTTTCATCAAAGTGACATCTAATGAGATGATCATGTGTTTTGTTTTGTTTTTGTTTATATGGGGGAGTACATTTATTTTATGTGTTGAATCATCTGTGTATCTCCGGGATGAAACCTGCTTAATCATGGTGGATGATCTTTTTGATGTGTTCTCGGGTTTGTATTTTACTGAGTA